ATAAGAACAACATCTCCATCTTTCTGTACTTCCCTTAAAAAGAATAACTTAATGTTGAAATGCTTAGTCTTCCCATGAAACACAGGATTATGAGAGATAGCAATTGCAGCTTGATTGTCAACGAGAATCTTCGTGCTTTCCATTTGCTCCAAATTAAGATCGATTAAAATCTTCCTCAGCCACAAAGCTTGATTAACAGCAGTTGTTGCGGCAGTAAACTCCGCTTCAGCTGTGGATTGAGCTACAGTTTCTTTCTTTTTCGAGCTCCATGAGAAAACACCAGAACCAAGTGTGAAACAGTAGCCTGAAGTGCTTCTCATATCATCAATAGAACCTCCCCAATCACTATCTGAGAAACCAACCAGCTTGAACTCTTTGCTTCTCGTGAATTTAATGCCAAAATCACATGTGCCTTTGACATATCTAATCACCCTCTTTGCAGCCTTGAGATGCCATTCACTTGCATAGTGCATAAACCGAGACAAAATGCTTACAGCATTCAAAATATCAGGCCGAGTTGCAGTGAGATACATCAAACAACCAATCAGACTTCTAAAATATGCTTGATCAATCTTTTGTGTTCCATCTTCTTTAGATAACTTTTCCTTTTGGATCATAGGAGTGCTCATTTCTTTGCATTCTTCAAGCTTAAACTTCTTCAGAATCTCCATGGCGTATTTCTTCTGACAAATGAAGACTTCATGTTCTTTTTGTTTAATTTCCATTCCAAGAAAGAATGTCATCAGACCAAGATCAGTCATCTCAAAAACTTTCATCATCTCCAGCTTAAATTCATCAATCAAACTTGTATTATTTCCAGTCACCAAAAGATCATCAACATAAAGAGAAATAACAAGAATATCAACTTTGCATTGCTTGATGTAAAGGGTGGACTCAGATAGGCTTTTTACAAATCCTAAACTTAGCAAATGATCATCAATTTTGCTGTACCAAGCTCTTGGAGCTTGCTTCAATCCATAGAGAGCCTTCTTTAGGAGATAAACTTTGTCTTCTTCTCCTTTCTTTACAAAGCCTTCGGGTTGCTCAACATAGATTTCTTCTTCCAAGAAACCATTTAGAAATGCCGATTTAACATCCAACTGATACACTTTCCAACCCTTTTGTGCTGCAACTGCAAGTATTAGCCTGATGGTGTCTAGTCTAGCCACTGGTGCAAATGTGTCTGAGTAGTCCACTCCAAAAATCTGAGAGTAGCCTTTAACCACAAGCCTCGCCTTGTGTTTGTTGATGGAGCCATCAGCATTTAGCTTGGTTCTGAATACCCATTTGACCCCAATGACTTTTCTATCTTGAGTTCTGTCAACAAGCTGCCATGTCTTGTTTTTCTCAATCATATGCAGCTCCTCCTGCATTGCAACCATCCAATTTTGATCAAGTTTTGCTTCTTCAAAACCTGCAGGCTCACAAACTGCAATTTTACATTTCTGATAGACTTCAGAAAGCAATCTAGTACCCCTGACTGGAATGTCATCTACCATTTCATTTTGCCAATCGCCAGATTTTCTTTCAAGCGTGTTTAGAAGAGGAAAATTGAGCTTCAGATCATTTGAAGCTTGATTAGTTTTCCTTGCTTCATCCCAATTCCATTCTTCATCTTCTACAAAATGTACATCCCTGCTGATGACAATTTTTCTAGTTTGTGGTTGGAAAACTTTGTAAGCTTTGGTGACATTGCTGTAACCAATGAAGATGCCCGGTGATGCTCTTTTGTCCAATTTATCACGCTTCGTTTGTGGAATGTGAGTGAAACACAAACAACCAAATATTTTAAGAAAGTTCAGAGATGGTTTGTGTCCATACCAAGCCTCAAACGTTGTTTGATTCTTCACAACTTTTGTTGGGAGTCGATTTTGCAAAAAAACAGCAGTGTTTGCTGCTTCTGCCCAGAATTCCTTTGGTAGGTTCTTTTCATGTAGCATGCATCAAGTCATCTCCAATATGTATCTATTCCTTCTCTCACTTACACCGTTTTGTTGTGGAGTGTATGGAGTTGTTACTGACGTTGAATGCCTGTTTCCTCACAAAAATGGTTGAATGCTTCAGATGTATATTCCTTACCGTTGTCTGATCTAAGAATCTGAACTGCACATCCACTCTCATTCTCAACTCTGGCTTTGAAGCTCCAGAAAACCCGTGCTACCTCTGATTTGTGCTTCAGAAAGAATATCCAACACATCCTTGTGAAATCATCGATAAATGCAACGTCGTAGAGACTACCCTTCAAAGAAGGTGTTCTTTGAGGGCCTGCAATGTCTGTATGAACCAATTGCAACTTTCTTGAAGCTCTCCAAGCCATCTTAGGAAACTGTTTTCTGCTTTGCTTACCAAACTGACATGCCTTGCAGTTTGGTGAGTGATCATCAAACTCAGGCAGATCACTTGCCATTTGTTTTGCTTTCATTTGCTACAAGCCTTGATGGTGATAATGCCCAAGTCTCTTGTGCCAAACCTCAGTGACATTTTCTTTGATTAAAAAAACAGCTTACTCCTCTTCCAGTGGATTAAGTGTGAAGCTTTTCCCTTTCATTTTTACCTTAAACATGTCTTGACCAGTTGCATCTTTAATTAGGCAATGCTTGTCTTTAAAAGTAACTTTGAAACCTCTCTCAATTAGTTGGCTAACACTTAACAAATTTTGATCAATTTCAGGAACATAAAGTACATCAGAGATCAACTTTGTACCTGAACAGCTTGGTATTGCAATAGTGCCACGTCCTTTCACTGCTATAAGTTCTCCATTTCCAATTCTGACTTTGGAGGTTCCAGCAGGCTTCAAGTCCATGAAAAGTTCCCTATCGTGAGTCATGTGATTTGTACAGCCACTGTCAATTAGCCAGCATTCACTCAAGCCACTGCTTGAGAAACATGTTGCAACAAAAAGCTGATCTTCCTCATCTTCTTCTTCAACAACTTGAGCTTCTACCTCCTGTTGCTGATTTTTACTCTTACAAATTATAGCTTCATGGCCAAGTTGATTGCATTTAGTGCATTTTGCATCTGGTCTATTCCAACACTTGAAGGGTGAATGACCTTTCTTACCACAGTGCTTGCATGGAGGATAATTTCCCTTCGAGTTTCCTGCCCTGCCTTTGTTGTAGTTGTTTGGGGTATTTTCTCCATTTGTAGGCTGATTCTTCTTGTATTTCTTCTTCTTGTTCCTACCGAAATCATTATATTTGGCTGGCAGTGCACCTTCAGTTACTCTATCTTCTCTCATGAATTTTCGTTGCTCTTGTGCCTGCAAGGCATTCAATAATTCTGCCAAGGTAATCTTGGACAGATCCTTAGTATTTTCTAAGGTTGTTATTGTTGCCTCAAATCTCTCAGGCACGGTCACAAGAATTTTTTCAACAATTCTTGAGTCATTAAACTCAGAGCCAAGCAATCTTACCCTGTTTGCTAAGCTTAGAAGCCTTTCAGAGTAGTCTTTGATAGACTCTGATTCTTTCATCCTTTGCAACTCGAAATCTCTGATGAGATTCAGCACTTTCATGCCTCTGATTCGTTTATCTCCTTCATATTCGACCTTGAGATAGTCCCAGATAGCTTTGGCTAACTTTAGAGACATAATTCAAGTGAATATGCTCGAAGAAACAACAGTAAACAAACATGCCTTTGCCTTTGATTTCTTTGTTTTTCTATCCTTGTGATTTTTAAGCTGAGCCATCGTGGGATTGTTTGGTAGAGGAGGAATTTCATAGTCCTCTTCCACTGCTTCCCAGATATCCAAGGCTTCCAGATAAGTTTCCATCCTTACAGCCTAGATTTGATAATTTTCACCATCGAAAACTGGAGGTACGATCGATGAAAAACTGGTTTCTGTGTCCATGGCAACCACTTGGATTCAATCTTAAACACTTACAGGTCCCTTAAGAAGAGGGCTCTGATACCAATTGTTGTCAATGTAAACTGAAAACAAAGAAATCAATTGTTATAGTGAATGAAAGAACGGAAACAGAGAACTGGTGAATGAAAGAACGAAGGATAATTTCCGATGAAGTGCATTTTTATTTCTTCTCAGAACTACTATTTAAGAGTGTGTTTGGGACACATTCTTTTGAAAGAATGTATTATTGAATAATAAATTGATGGAGAATGTGTGGTTAAAAATGAAGGAAAAGTTACTGATGTGATGAAAAATATTATTTTATTGAAGAATGTGTGATTGAATATGAGTAGAAGAATGAGAATGAAAAAAATAATGTGTACCAAACAAGACCTAATAAATCAAGTTCTTGAATGTAAGCCGTTNTAACATCATGAATCCTAGAGTCATGGAGGGAAACCCACATAACCTACTAGAATCCTGAGCAAGTACCCGTTGATATCGGCTGTCCGCGTGCAGGGTCCAGTCGACAATTTGGGAGTCGAGATTGTTAGGTATAGAAGCATTGACATACAAACCTAAGCTTTTCCAGGAATCCTTCTTGTGCTGGGTACTCCGTACTCTAGGCAGTGTCTCTTCTGTATTTGGATATGTACAGATTCCAATGTCGCCCAATCATATCGTTCGATTATTCTTGATAATGAATCTACTGCTGCTTGCATTTATAATCTTCTTATTTGCCAGAGGCTCCTATAATCTTATACTTAACGTTATCGGATTTAATTAAGATTCTTCTTGGATGAAAATTTGATAATAATCACAAGATTTCAACCATGTGTAAATGGAGTAACAGGAACTGATATAACACAATTACACACACCTATGAGAAGTGGCTTGAGGATGAGAAGACACAGTTCAAGATAAAACTGATGCAACCACATAAAATATAAATTGGCCACCACCCTAAAGAGAGGAACAAAAAATTATGAAGTTCGTGCCCCAGGAATCACGAAAAAAGTAATTATTGGGATGAAGAGTGGAAGAAAAAAAAAAGAAAAAGAAAAACCGGATGACGTAGATAAGATGATATGATGTTAAAATGGTTTCAATCGATATAAATCATAAATATTTACAGCAAAACAGTAATTAGAATTCATGTTAATATTTTTCTTCTTCTTTGAAGATCCGACTTTTTCTGCAGTATAATCTTAGCTAGATTCTGTTTTCCCTCTCTATTTAGCCCATAAATAACTGTTCTAAAATTTACTGTACTGGGAACAATCCCATTATCCAGCATTTCAGAAATCAGTTTCAAAGCTTCTTCAGACTTACCTATTCTACAGAGACAAGTAATGAACATTGTATAAGTCTTGAAATCAGGCCATGGTCCATTCTGCTTTATTTCATGGAAAACATTCCAAGCAGCAGTAATCTTCCCCATTCTCACATATCCACAGATCAATGCTGAATACGTAACAATTGTAGGTTGACAACCGGCCTCTTTCATTTCCTCAAAAGTTTCAAGAGCTTTATTTATCTGTTTTTCCCTAAGGAAGTGGACAAGTAAAGCTGTATATACATGAACAGTAGGACGAATCCCGACCTGTTTCATGGATTCCATCTTTTCCAGTGCTTCTTCTAACCTTCCTCTTCTTAGCAGTCCGTGAACTAAGCTTCCATAGGTGTACTGATCCAGTGTATTTCTTTCAGCCCCGACTTCATTTGTCAAAGATAAAGCCTCCTCCATCTTCCCTGCACGACAAAGGGCCCTAATGTACAATGAATATGTCAGAGGAACTGTAAAACAACCAAGTTCACGTAAAGAGTCTATACAGGATCTGGCATCTGACAGTTTATTAACTTCACATAAACAGCCAAGATAAGTTTCCAACAATTCTTTATCAGGAATGCATCCCACTTGAATCATTTCTTGATATATTTGGATTGCTTCGTCAACTTTTCTGCCTTTTTTTCCACAAAGAGAGATGATCAAATACTTATACGAGCTTTTGGTTGGTTTACAGCCACTAGACTTCATCTCTCTGAAGTTATTTAGAGCAATATCCGTCAAGCCTGTTCGACCATACAGCATTATCATGATTGTCCATGTATCAGATGTTATTTCGCAACCTTTTCTCCTCATCTCATAAAAGAGACTTTTCATCTGTTTAAAGTTCTTCCCCTGACCTGCAACTTTCATGGCCATGTTGTATGATTCTGTATTGTGACTATAACCAGGTTGCATCCCGACCCATGTGAAAAATCTTATAGCGTTAGCATTGTACAAACTGCAATTATGCAAAATTTCCACCACAAGGTCAGTTGTAAATTTCACAGAACATTGCTCCAATTTTTCTTTTATAAAGCACCAATCCTTTGAGGACGATAGAATTTGACAAACTTCACGTACATAATGTTTAGAATGTTCACTATAAGATTTTAACACTGACTCTGGTAAGTAGTAATCCAGCCGAAGGTGCTCTACTTCACGCTCAAATTCCACACTGCATTCTGGTTGACTACATAATTCAACGTTTGGTGTCTCCATTTCTGCAGGACAACATTTACGAGCTCTCTGCATCCGTTTTATCTCTTCTAACTTCCCTGACTCTCCTTTCTTCTCCATATGAGACAAAAGCTGTCTGAATATGTCATCTCCAATGATTATTTCAGAAGCCTGCATTTCATTCAAAACTTTGATGATTTCATCTGTTGCAGAAACTTTACATAGCTCCTTTATGTATACGGCATATGATTTGGGAGTTGCCTTGATTCCTTTCTCCTCCATGCTCTTGAACACCTTCCATGCGTCAGAAATGCAATTTTGTCTAACATAGCCTGCAGCCACAGCAGTTAGTGCCACACTATCCAATTCAATTCCTGTCTCAATCATCTCTTCATAGAGCTCTAAGGCCTTTTCAAACTCGTTCTTCTGGAAGAGATGCTGCATCAAATTCGTGTAGGTAGAAACTGTTACATGTCCAGAGTGCTTTATTTCATGGAAAAGATTAAATGCCTTCAAAACATCATTTCTTCTCAAATACGTGTTTATAAGGATCCCGTAAACATTTCCATCAAAAATATTCCTTCTCTTCATTATTTCGACTATCTCCACTGCATCCTCAATCCTATCTGCTCTACAGAGTCCTTTGACCAATTTTTCAAAACTTTCAGAGTCAAGGTCAATGTTCTTATTCTTCAAGTCGCGAATCAATTCTAAGGCTTCTCTAATTCTCCCTGAAATGCAGAAACTCTTTAGCATTAGACCATAAGCATGACGTTCGGGAATCTCTGAAACTCTTATCATGTCATCGCCAACAACACGAACTGCAGCAGCATCTCCAGACAACGCCAAACAATTCAATAACTGTTTATACAAAGACAAATCTAACTCCACCTCTTTATGTACCATCTCCTTGTAGAACTCCAATGCAATGTTGGCTTTTCCGGCAGTACAAAGTGCCCGCAACATAATTCTGTGAGTCATCCCATCAGGTTCAACATTGTTTTTTTTCATCTTCTCAAAGACCAACAAAGCTTTGCCAATCAACTTTGCTTTCCCATAATGAGACACGAGAATGGTCCATGTCTTAACATTTTTCTCACAAGAATTCATTTCCATTTCCTCTAACAACTCCTCGACCAACGCTAACTCCTTGGCTTCCCCAGCTAAGTAAATCATTGTATTATAAGTCCCTATCGTGTGTCGAAACCCTGCGTCCAGTTTCAACCAATTGAAAAACCTTAAAGCCAAATGAGGAACCTTGAAGCACCTCTTCAAAACCTTGTCAACTATCTCCTCAGTATATCTAAAATCCGCATTTTTTAACTTTTCCTCCATTGAGACCACACAATTTTTACCTCTTACAATTCCTGTAATTTGATGAACAACAGGACTAACATCAATCAATTCATTTCCACTCAAGATTTCCATTTGATCATCCTCTAAACTCGACAAGCTATCAACGTTCTTTTTTTCCATTTTCTTATCGGCATTTTCACAAACACCTTGCAAACTATCAAACGCCTTTACATCTGTTTCAGTATTTCCCGAACGGATTGCTTTGAACATTGAAAACCCAGATGAGCTTTCGTTTTCATCCGTCTTAAGATTTTCAGTTCCTAAAATACCGAGGATTTCATTGAAGAGCGGGCCAAAGTTCATGTTTTCTCTCTGGTTTTTCAAGTGGGTATGCGATATATCAATATTTTTCTTATTTTTAAGCCTGCTCGAAGATTTATTGGAGAGAATTGAAAAGTAAGATTCTTGAACAACATGGCTCCGATCGCTATTCAGCAAATTATTGCAAGAAGCTGAACGTAAGAATCCATGTTTAAATAAGTTCCTCATTTTGCTGGAAAAAGAGAAAAAAATAATAATTCAGGGGAACTTCATGGTTGGAAATTTTATTTGCTAAATTACTTCATTCGGATTATAATCACGTCATAATTAAAATACAATTAATATTCCTGATCCAATAAAAACTTAGAATGAAAAAGAAAATAAAATATTAATAGCATATTCATCAAATCTATTAGTTTCGTTTGATTGGTTTAAATTTTATCAAAAATATCACATATGAAGAATTAAATTTTTATTTTGACTGTTTGATACGAAAGTGAAAATATAGTTCGAATTCCAAGGTACAACCACATTAAGAGCCCGTTTGGTACAGATTAAAATCCAATTAAAATTGAAAATATAGTCGTTATTGGGTCCCACTCGTCTAATAAAAGTAACAATAACGACTTATTTTTCAATTTTAATCCGATTTTAATCTCTATCAAACGGGCTTTAAGCTTGCTTTTTGTCAATTTCATAGAAAATGCATTCTTACGTGATACTTGAATTTTTATTTTTCAACTTATATGAAATTGAAAAGTCTTTCCATTTTTGTCAATCAAACGAATCCTTAGTAGTTTATTAAGGTACAACGTTGACTCCATCCCTCTCTCCCTCTCTCTCAGTCAAGATATTTTTTCATTTCTTGATATTTCCGATATTCTGGGTTTTTTTGCTAACAAGCCAGTTTTTTGGATTTAATTTAAACCCAACGTTGAATCAAAGCCCTGGAATTATGTTTCCGATAAATCCGAATGGCAGGATGAGCAGGTTGCTCCACCGCCGTCCGATGATAAACGGTGACGTTAGGTGAAGTGGACTTTTTTGCAGATAAGCAGAGGGCCAGTGCAATAATGATACTCATGTTGTGAATGAGGAAGATGTTGAAGCTTCCAAAGAGGAATTAAGTCCCGTTTGGTGTACATTTTTGGAAAAATAATGCATTTTTACTGTTGATGTGATGGAGAATACGCGGTTGAAAAAGAAAGAAAAATTATTGATGCGATGAAAAATATTATTTCATTGAAGAATGTGTGGTTAAAAATGAATAAAAAAATGAGAGTGAAAAAAATTACGTTGCTCAAACAGAGCCTACATATGAACGTACAAAAAGAAAAAATTAGATTTATAATTGTGGTGTATTAATAAATTATTTTATGTGATAAATATATTAAAACCTGATTTTATTTAAGTAAATAAAAAATGTTTAAAATTGTAGTCTAACTAAGTAGTGGTAATTACCCATTTAACCCAAGAAAAGCTTTATTTTCCAACGTTTGGATTGACACCTCAGCTCTGAAATTCAAATAACATAATCTCAACATTTTGAATTTCAAATCTCGTATAACGGCCAAATTATCGCCTCCTGCCCCACCCACGCCAAGGATTTTGCTCCCCGAACAGTGGCTTTTGTTCATAAAATCCAGCTATCCATTCCACAATTCTTCATCTCTGCTACGTGTGCTTGTGGGTGAAAATGGCAACTCTAACACCAGGAATCCTACTCAAACTTCTCCAATCCATGAATTCCCACACAAGAGTCACTGGAGACCACCGTTCGCCGCTCCTCCAGGTCATCGGTATCGTGCCGGGGCTTTCCGCAGCCGATTCTCTCTGGCCCCACCATGGGTTTTACGTGCAGCTCTCCGACTCAATTAACTCCACCTACGTTTCACTTTCAGACCGAGACACCGATCTAATCCTCACAAACCGGCTCCAGCTCGGCCAGTTTGTCCACCTAGACCGTTTTGTCTTCGATTCTCCTCCGGTTCCAGTAGCCGTCAATGTGCGTCCCATTGCCGGGCGCCATTCTTTTGTTGGAACCCCTGAACCCTTAATTGCCCGGATTTCACCTTCTAGAAATGGATTTGTTATTCAGCCTGTATCGGATTCCGATTTTTCTGGGGATCCCATTGCAGCCTATTTGTCGAGAACCGGGAAGAAAGAGGCGGATTCGGGTTCAGTAACTAGTGTTGCTGATGAAAAGGCGAGTAAGGCTAGCAGGCAAATGAGTGCTCCGAAGGAGAATGTGAATGTGAATTATGAAGATGAACAGGGTAGTAACAGTAGAACGGGTTCGGAAAAGGGGTCGAAGAGGTTTTCGTCTCCAGGGGCATTGAAGCAAAAATCCATGTCTGCTGGGAAGAAGGCACCAGGGGCGGAAAGGGATCCATCGCCAGCTGGGAAATCAGGGAAGAGGTCTGCTTCCCCCGTGCCTTCAAAGTGCATGGTGCCGAGTCTTGTTGTTGCGAAGGAGGAAAACAGAAGGACATCAAGGGAAGCGGCCATAATTGTGCCTTCTAGATACAGGCAGCCATCGCCCACTACTGGGAGGCGGCAGGCCAGTCCGGTGGTGGCGAGGCGGATGTCACTGTCCCCTGGCCGACGGTTGTCTGGTGGGATCAAAGTCACACCAGCTGTGGACTCTTCTGGAAAGAAGAAGATGGCTACTATTGCAGCTGGAATTTCTAAAGTTTCTGAGGCCCTTGTGGGTCCTGCAAAGCTGGGCCGGAAGAGCTGGGATGAAGGACCAGCTCCGGCTGGCGGAGGTTCTTCTGAGCAGAAAGAAAAGGCTGGAACTAAGAATAGACCGGATTTTCAGGCTATTTTGAGAACTCAGGTTAGATCCTTTTCAGATTTCTCTAATTTGCTGCTGATTTCTTTATGTCTGGGATCATAATTCTGATCTGTTCATAAATGCATGTTTGATTTCTTGAATTTTACTTTTTGCGAGGATGATCATTGTGATTAATGCATTAAAAACGTTTTCCCTAGGTTAGTCGAAGTGTATGTTAATCAGCAATAGTCTTCCTTGACATACATTTGAATCGTGATTTTGCAGGCTGCTATTTCTAGGCGATTAAGTGATGTAAATGAGCAAAAATTTGATCTCAGTTATTTGGAAGAAAAACAAAAATCTAACGTGGCTGAGAATCCTCCTCTGCTTGAGAAGCCAAATGAAGCATCTCCTGTAATCACTATTCATGAAAAGAAATGGACTGATGGAAGCATTCCATTGGATGCACTCTCTTCAGGTCTTGCATTGCTTGGGAAGGTATGTTTCATTTTCAAATTAACTGCCAGTATAACAATAAGAAGTTGTTGTGTTTTCACTTTAATTCGCTTGTGTCCTCCACTGTTGGTGTTGTACGATCTTATCTAAAAACTTGAGTTGTTAGAAGGGGAACATATTTATGTATTTAAATTTAGTTTTCAAGAACCACCCTCACGGACAATCGGGATTTATGTTACATCAATAGCAAGATATGTTCACAATTTGGTAAACAGACAAGGGTGAAACTTATTGTCATGTCTACTTCGATATTATGTTGAAGAAACTCATCTAAGTTTAAATTGTTTGAGAGGAAACACATTTATTTAAATCTAATCTTCAACAATGGAATATGATTAATTATATTTTCATGGTACAGGAGGCTATGCAAAGGAGAGTAGTTGCTTCCACAGCTGCAGCCGAAGCTTTAGAAGAGGCCATTGCAACAGAGTCTATTGTGAGGAGCCTGAGGTGATTATTCATTTTCTCTCTCTGATCACAATATCCTTTTTGGAACATATGTTTGAATATGTGTTATTTAAATCAATACGCACTGGCTTCCGATGCTACTATATGCAACTCCATTGACAGATAACTTGTTCAATATCATTAGCACACAATTTTTTTCTTCTTGTGTTGATTCCAAGTGGCTATTAAGAAGTGTTCAGTTAAGGAGTGAAATAAATGTCTTCTTATATATTTGGGAGCAAGTACTTCAGATTTTAAGGTATGTGAATTTGTCTTTTCTAACCTTTTCTTCTTATTCAATGACAAGATGAGGAATTAAGGTAAATGAATTATTAGAATCATACAGTTCAATTAGTCATATTACACTTTGATTTTATTCAATGATGACACTAGGAATTTGTCATATATTACACTTTGAATTGCGTTTCTGTATTGATTTGATTTTTTCAATTTGTCATATTCCATTTCTTGTGCCTTCTTCCAATAAAATTGTTGGAGAGCAAACAAATATAAGCCATAAAATAAATTGCAGTTTCCATTCTAAAATACATTTAAATAGATCTTGAACCTGTAAAGAGTATCATTGCTATAATTCTTGCTGCTCTCTTGGTGTAATTAGTATTGTAATCAATATATGCTCTGCTTTGTTATTTGCTTCGTTTATTATGTTTTGCATACTGGGATTGCATTTTGTGTTACAGTTAGAATATAAAAATTTTATGCAAGAATTTCTTTGTTGTTGCTTTTCTGTTCGATGACAATGAGATAAAAAATTACTTGATTTAGAAGAATCTCCCGTACGTTTGATTGACCAAAAATAGGATATTGAAAAAGAACAATACAATTTAACTCTGAACCCCATCTGATTAAGTTGTTATTTGCCGTATGGCTTCACTGTTTTCCGTTTCTGCGTCTTTTATTATTGTTATTTGCTGTATTGCTTCATTGATTTTCTCTTTCTGCAGTTATCTTTAATGATTCATTGAAACATTAACCTTTTTTTTATTTGTTTACTCTTCGCAGCATGTTTTCAGAACTCTGTATGAGGTCAAAGCCAGAAAATCCTCTACCTACTATTGATCGATTTATGACAATTTATGAAGATGTTGTGAAATCTACAGTAGTGGTTGAATCAGTTGCTATAAATCGTAATTCGATAGCTCGTCAAAATATCCCAATCAAGCAATCAAAATCGTCTGCCCTTTGGGTAGAAGCAGCTCTGGCTACCAATCTTGAGGTTGTCTCCCTCCTGACTAGCCCAAACTTTGAGACTTCAATGAAATCGGAAGAATCTGCACAGAAA